ATAAATCACTTTCAAAATGATGACAATGTACCGTACATTATTCTTGTATGAACACAAAATAAAAAGGAGAAAACTATGTTCTACACTTTACACATCATCGTTTTATCGTGTATTATATGAAAGGAATCATCCACCTAGGACCATTAACGAACTCTTGTCAGATTATATATTTTACACATCATCGTTTAATGTGACACATACCAATATAGTTTTATGTAAGTTAAAAAGTATTCCGAAAAGGAACCTTCGAATCTTTGGCCTTTAAGCAACCTTTGGCCCAAGCAATTTACTATTCTCCTCTCTTTTTTTAGTTTATGAATCAAATATACCCCACCTTTTTCTTTTCGTCCAACTTCCAATGCCTCTCATATATAGATGTAAAACAAATCAAAATACAATAGCTTTCAAAACATGTAACATCGATCTATGCGACATTCACACGAGATATGTCGATAACAAGAGTACGAGCTGTGAGCCATCAAGATCTTGTTCCGAATCCTAAAACAACCGATCTTAGCAGCAAAACCAGTATTTTCATTGTGGTTTTGACCATAATCTTTGGCCTCTCCTGCTTTGTTCTCTGTCTCTATGCTGAAGCCACGAGATCTCAGGTACATCATTGTTACTGTAAATATTAAATTAATCTTTTACTTTGATCATATTTTCAAAATAAATTAGTAACCATGTAAAAATTAGCAGTATGTAGAAACATTGTAACTCAATATTCAAACACAATTAGCTCATTTAGCTAAAAAACGGATTTGAATTTGATACTGTGTTAGGATCACGTCCTAAGAGATGCGTAGACCAAACGTAAATTACATAATATTGATAAAAAGAAAAACAAACATTTCAGTTAATCAAATCAAAACTATTTAGTTTCAAAAAAAAAAAAAATCAAAACTATTAACATATATATAATTTTTTTCCATATGATTTGATAGTTTTATTTTGTCTATCACTGCCAATACGATTTTTTTTCTCATGGTCGATTCAAAATATGCTGTCAATGATTTTTTTTGTTTAACCCAATGCTGTCAATGATTTGCATTTTCATGTAGGCGATTTGGGGAAGCAAAACATGTGTGTACACCGGTAACGGGAAAACGCCGTTGTTATGCGGTACAATTGCATTCGTGGGACTAGCGGTGGCGATGGTGGGATTGCACATGTACTTACTTATCGCAGTCACCACATCTCCGCCGCTGGTTCTGGTTACGTGGGATCCTGACTCTGTTTCCGCGAAGACTCTCACTTTTCAAGCAGCCTTCTTCTTCGTATCAACGTGGTAAGGAATTGTAATGCAATGATTAATATCTTGCTGAAAGTAACATTAAAGCTCCTTTAATGATTGGTAGACCTTCTCGAATATCACATGATTAATATTTTGTTCTTTATAAAATTAAGATTTTCTCGTTTATTCCATTTTGTATTTTTTTCTTCTTTTAAGATTCCACCAGTCGATCAGAACATAAGTTAGTGATATTTACGTTTTGTGCTGTTCCTTTAAGGGTTTGCTTTGGTGTTGGAGAGGTTCTACTGTTGGTGGGACTTAGTGTGGAATCAGGACATCTAAAGAATTGGTCTAAGCCAAAACCTAGTTGTCTAGTAATCCGACAAGGCTTGTTCTCCGCAGCAGGAGTGTTCTCGCTTCTAACCGTCTTTCTAGCGACAGGACTTTACCTGACGGCTCTTCAAGCACATAGAATCTCCAAAGATCTCGAAAATACGCATAGAGACATCCTCGAGGCATCAGTTCTTTATGCATCTCCTCCAAGATCGCCCACGAATCGGATGGCTACGGTAGCTCGAGAAGGTCCTGCTACGATTAGAGATGACTCGACGTCTTTGGGATATCTTGTTTCTTTAAAGCAACTTGCTTATATAGTATAGTGTAATATGTGTAGTAGAGAAGATATATTAACATTCAGCAGGAAAAAAAACCAAAAAACATATGATAAGAATATCAAGTCTCTGGCTAAGATAATTTAACCCTTAATATATTTTGCTCAAGAAAATGTTTATAATAAATCTAGAAGTTGATGTATCTTATTTATACTATACTAT